AACTTGACTTGGCTAACACAATTTAGGATACCTCAAGGCTTGTTTCTTCTTATGTTAGCTTCAATGAAGTTCAAGGATGAAAAATGAGCAAAGAAACTGGATTGAAAAATAAGGGAAAAGTGAATTTGAAAACTCAAAATTATGAGTTATGGAGAGAGTTTGGCATGGCGATTCTGGCTATCCAAGCTTGTCTAAATGAGTGGGATATCATCCTCTATTTATAGCTGAGCAAATAGAATGCTCAAGCGTGTGATATGATGAAATTTTTGGAGAATTCGTATGAAGTTGCAAGCATGAAAAGTATGACTCATATTTGATCAAAACCCATCCAAAACTTGTGTTTCAAGATGCTAATTGCTTCTGGAAAGTTACTAAGCATAATTATAAGTGAAAACTCACAACAATTTAGTGATTAGAGGCCACATTAACCAATTTTCCATATGATTGTTTTGACAAAATCAGTTTCAAGGTGTCATCTTCAAATTCATGGTGGTCACAATGTAGGAGGCTTTATGGGATGATTTTTGAAGCATTTGAAAGACAAGGTCACAATATTTACAATGTTCCAAGAAGGACTCCATTTGGATAATTGAGATGGAAGTTATGTCCTCTTAAAATCGTGAAAAACAAACTGATTTTTGTACTTAAAAATACTTACAAGTGTTGAACTTCAAAATGACCTATAATGTTCTTCAAAATTACATGACATTCCACTCAAAATTTGATCTTGATTTCTGAAGATGACATGAATTAGACCTATTAAATTTAATTATGGAATTGAGATCACTAAAATTATAAAAATTGAAAGAGTTCTGGTCTTTGGAAGATGATGAACAAATTTGGGAAAATTCACAAAAGGCCTATAATATTTTCAATTATTCAACAAATTTCCAAGCATCTTCAAGTCTTGTACATTGAAACAAAGTTGTAGTAGACATCCTAAATATTATTATGGAAAATGAATGGGCTCAAGGAGATACAAATTGACCAAGTTATGATCATTTGAAGTCAAACCCCAAAATTCAAAGGCTTTTCAAAGAGACTTGTAACCTTTCTCAACCATTAGTGGCCTTCCTCTCAAAATTCTCCTTAGATCTCTGAAGAGAACTTGTTAAGGACCCTTGAAATCGAATCATAGCTTTAGAGTCAATCCAAAATATCAAAAAATGAGCAATATATGGTCCTTGGAAGTCAACAAACCCTAGCTTAGAGAGTGTCAAAATAACTTGAAACCCCTTTCAACTTTTGATGATTTTTCTTGCACAGTTGGATCTTGTCATGTGAAGAGAAATTGTTGTATATGATGATAAGAACCCATAACAAAAATAACCAGCTCAAAATATTGAAAATTGAGAGAGTTATGCACTTGTGATCACTGAATCAAACACTTGCTCAATTAGGTCAAACTTGTTGAATCAACCTTGAATCTTTTTGATCTTTTTTCTCAAAATAAAGCATGATGAATCACAATATGCCTTAAAATGATGTTATCTTGAAGCACAATCAAAGATGTAGTTTAAGTCTCAAAGAAACTTGTTTAGGAAGGCATGGAAATAAACACATGAACCAATAAATCTTCTTGATGAATGCCACCACCAAATTTGAGGAACATTTGACCTAAATAAAGTGAGGGAGCTCTTTGAACCACAAATCTTTGATGTCATAAACATAGCCTTGAAGCTTAAGCTCTTGCGATCCATTAAGGAACCACTTGAATGAGGATCATCCCTCAAACCCTAGGTTAGATAGTGAGATGAATGTAATTGTATCATCACCTATAATATGAACATTCAAAGAAACATATATACATATCTTGATGTTAGTTAAAAGAACACATGTACAAGATACACAATTCAAGGTGCTTGGTGATCCCTCAAGATCAAACTTAAAGATAGGATAAAGTAGAAAGAGAGAACCAACCCTAATGTGTATGTCTTGATTGTTAGAACAAGATTGGTTCTGATCATATCTCAGAGTTTTTATGACAATAATAAAATATATTTCATATAATTGATACTCTGATGAGCATATTTATTTGTTTCAGATAATGTTCTGACAGAAGTATTTGACGTGCTGAGCTGAAAATAAATGAAGAAGTTCTTTGATGAAAGAACTATTTGTTTTAGCGCAAGTTCTGATGCTGACTCTGATAAGAAACTAATTTATGCATCTTCTAAAGCTTAACAAGTTTCCTTGTAAACCATGTTCATAAGTTTTCTACAAAGCAAGCGCTGATCAGAAGAATTCTGCAAGCAAGCGCTGATAAGAAGATTTGCAAGCATGTTCTGAAGCAAGACGTGAAGCTAGAAGCTAACAAGTCTTGTCAAGTTTCAGGAAACATGCCCTGACAAGTGTCGTTTGCTCATTTAATGCAAAGACGACTACATGCACTCAAGTGTCTGTGCTAGATCATTGGAAAATGCAATACTGCAAGCAAACACGCAAACATTAAATGCTCTCTACTTTTGAAGGCAGCAACAGTCATTTTCTTGATGCTATAAATAGAAGATCATTTATTGCAAGCAAAATCTGAAGACCAACTACGTGAAAATATTTTGAAGAACACAAATCATTTTACAAACACTTTGTGCAAAATTAATCTTAGTGAAAAATCACAGTTTGTGATATAGCTTTTTAGAAGCAATTTTATTTCACTATCTGTAAAGATTTCATTCTTGTAATTGTTCCTTGAGAGACCAAGTTTGGTCAGATTTCTCAAGAAGGCTAGGACTAGTTGAGTCTTAGTGGTGTTAGTCACTTGTAAGTTTACTTGTGCATTGTATTTTTAGTCACAAAAGTTGTTGTGTGATTGTAATCAGTTGATTATAGTGAATTAAGTCCTTGTTGAGAAAGGCGAAATCACCTTGGCGGGTGGACTGGAGTAGTTTGAGTTCAAACGAACCAGAATAAAAATATATGTGTCTTTCCATTGTTGTTAAGCCTTTAAGAAAAAGAAAAAGAGAAACTTATTCAACCCCCCCCCCCCCCCCCCCTTCTAAGTGTTTTCTCACCTTTATTGATGTATTGACAAAAATAAGATAATGAGAGATCTTAGTGACAAAAATTGGGGTATAACAGCTGCCTTTATTTAAGTGTCTTATATTCGGAGATACGAAGGTTAAAATCTTCGTCTCGACGTGATTGAAGATACTTAAATACAAAACAAACCCTTTTTTTACCCTAAGATGTCATGCAAATGCTTATGATTATGAATGCAAACGACCAACTCCAAAGGTGACATAGAACACCACTGAGGAGGCAGAAAATAAAAACAAAAGACCAAGAAGAGAGTTCGAACAGGAAAATAAATCACTGGAAAATAACATGACTCTGAGGATGGCTATAAACAGATAAAGCCAAAACCATGATTAAGAAACCAAATGCATAGTAAGATTTCAATAATAGAAACTCTTAATAATGCAAGCAACAAACTATCAAGGAGGTAATCATTAAGAAATGATTATCGACTCGACTAGAGGAAAGAAATCAACTCCATTGGAGGAAAATCAACTCCGTTGGGGAAAAGAAAACTCAACTCTACTGGGGTAAAGCCCAAAGAGGAGACAAAGTATCATCAACTCAATAAATAAGGAAAAACCAAAGGGTAACAACGACTGATAGGTAACTGTGAACTATCCACTCATAGAGGAGGTAGCAAAAAGAGAGTAACATCGACTAACAGGGGATCATGAACTAACATCGACTCGGTCGTAAGATCGTGATTTCTCCTTTCTCAAATTTTTCTTTGATGATTTTCCTTTCCCTTCCTGTGGGATAAGTAAATACTAGATGGCGACTTCATTGATTTTTTCTCGATGATTTTCCGCCGATTGTTTCATACACCAAATTTCTCCACAGAATCTTTATTTTTCTCAACCATTGTTTCATGATTGTGGGCCTAAGACACACATCTATCTTTATTGGCAACGATGTCTTAGCAATAATGCAAGCGCCCATGAGCGAGATGTGATGTTAGAACAAATCCATTAAAACTAATGTCCTAAATATCCAACAACAAGAGGATGATGCACAAGAGGGCCAAAGGAATTGGACCCCCAACCCCTCTCCACCAAGATATGGGACGCCCCTATCCCAGATAACTCCAAGTCCCTTCCTTAAAATGTAAGTTTTTGAACGAAATGCTGAAGGAAGTAGCCCTACGTTAATACATGAACTTTCCCACGTTCTTCATGACAAGCTATCAGGAATTATCTAGAATGTTAATCTGTCAATTCTCAACAATAAAACACATGAAAATTTCTATCACCATCTTATTCAGTGTGTGTTAGGGGCACTCATAATCATAATGAGAATATTTAGTGAAGTTCAATGAGGCTAATATCAAAATAGTCAACCCCAATCTAGAAATGTTTATAGACGCTTTTTATAATAACTTAAGGTCCAACATTTCAATGTGATCATTCCATAGTGACAATTATTTTCTAACATGTGTTTTCATAAGCATGCATACAAGTATATCAACAAAAAAAGCTTTTCCAAAGATAGAGAAGAGATTAGAAAAAGATGAGAAAAATAGAGAAGAGAAGAGTGTTAATAAAATTTGAAAGTACATATATACCCTTTAATTAAAAAATGACTATCTAATTTAATTTAATTTTTCGTTTATATTCAATTTTTTATAATGACATAATTACTCTTTATATTATTTATTTATTTATTTTATATATTAATTTTAGATTAAATCAAATCTACCATGGAATGAAAATAGTATATCATGAAATAGAAATGGTTTCAGATTAAACCACCTTTTTACCTATGAATAAATTTAAAACCATGTACTTTATAAACATCTTGATGGTATCATCTTTGAAATCATGTATTTAATATTTCAAAAGATAAAATAGTATAAAAGTGGACAAGCAGAACTTGTGGGAAAAGGTAAAAACAGTAATTGAGAATGAATAATGATAATAAGAGTGATTTCATTAGATAGATAATATAAGGCACAAGTACAAAAAAGAACATGCGTAACCCTAACCCTAACCCCCGAAACCGTAAAGTGTCCTCCCCTGTCTCTTGAGAGCGTAAACAACATCCATTGCCGTAACAGTCTTACGGCGAGCATGCTCTGTGTAAGTAACAGCATCACGGATCACATTCTCAAGAAAGATCTTCAAAACACCGCGAGTTTCTTCATAGATCAAACCACTGATACGCTTCACACCACCACGCCTCGCAAGACGACGAATCGCAGGCTTTGTTATTCCTTGAATGTTATCCCTCAGAACCTTACGGTGACGCTTTGCACCACCCTTTCCCAAACCCTTTCCACCTTTACCTCTTCCAGACATGGTGTTCTTGTTGCTCGCTGATTCTCACTTTCTAGTTATGTATTGGATTTGATTTCAAGAAATGAGGACCTGTGGTGTTTATATCTCATCACAGGGTGAATCTTCTACCGTTCGTTTCAATGGCTATCCGCGTGAATAACCTATGTCAAGATCTCCACCGTTCGATTTTAAATTATTGGTTCCAGATTCAGGATCACGCGGATCGCCAGACTGTCATATATCAATAAAAAATATTATGTTAAAAATTATATTATTTTGTTTGCTGCATAAATATATTAAATAAGATAGAGTAAAAAATATATTTCTTCATTTTTTTCCTCTTTATTATTATTTAATATTTTGATTCATAAATATTAATATATTATATATTAATAAATAATACTATAGTAAAAATTATTTTATTTTGTCTAATGCATAATATAATATAAAAAAATTGTCTTGTACCGTTATGTATTGTCTTATTTTGTTCTGTTTAATTTCTTATTTTACAAATCAAACACACCTTAAATAAAGAAAAGGTAAAGATTGAAATAAGAATTATATGTAGTAACTCCTTTAGATGATACTCTTGGTTGCATTCTCAATTAATCACCTTTATGGTTTGAGAATAAAATGGATGGTGTGAGGTAGGGGTGCATGGTTACCAAATTTTAAGAATCAATTTATTTTAATAGTTCTAGTTTTAAAATTAAACTATTTTTTATAATAATCAATTTAAAATTGTAAAATGGTTTCAATTCGGTACAAAATCGGTTTTCAATCAAAATTGATTTATAAGGAAATTGTATCTTTCTTAATTTGAAAAGACAAAAAAAAAGCAGGTTAATGAAGGGAACAAGATGCAAAGGCATGTGTCATTTTTATACTATTATATTCAAACACCAGCACAAATCGTTTTTCATAATTTTTTTGAAAAGCGAAAAAGTAAAATTCAATTTAAGAGTAAAAACATTACATTTTAATTTATGATAAAGTTGTACCATAACACTAAAACTAGAACCCAAAAAAACTAAAACAAAACATCATAAAATCAAGACAAAATCTACTTCAAAATAATTGCTACACTATAACAGTTAAACAAAAAAATACAGATTAACAATCGTTCATCACAATTAACTTAATAAGTTATTCTTCCCTTAACTAATCACCACTCTAATTAACTAATTAATAATAAATAAAATAAAATATATAAACTAGTTTTCCATTTTTAATTTGAATATTATATAAATTGGTTTACACGAATTTGAATTTCTTGTGCCTTAATAATATCTTATTCATTAATAATAATATCATATACATTTGATTTTATGTATGACAACTGGTTATCAAAAATGGAAACCAGATTTTTGTTTTGATATCAAAATGGATCTGGAGCGGTTCACATCCAACACAAATTAGATTATAAAAATTGGTGCACTGAATTTTTAAAATTGGTTCGTGTAAACCAGTTTTTTTGCACACCCCTAATGTGAGGAAGTTGGAAAGCTCGAGATGCAAAATCAGTTAAAAGAAATCAACTTGATAGAGGAAGGTACATGTCCCAAATTTATGTATGCAAGTTATTTGTCATATGAAAGTTGAAGAAATAATTAGGACTTGGATCCACTCCAATTTATCAGCTCTTATCTTAGCCATTCATCTGCATATTTTTTTCTATTCAAAGTAACTAATTTTTTAAATTAAATACAAAGATATGCCAAGAATATGTCACCAAATATAATTTTTAATGATCAAGATATGATTTGACACATTACTAGCATCTAAGGTCGCGTGAACACCCGAGTATTCGAATTAATTTATAATTATTTTATACAACACATACTCAATATAAAGATTTAAAACTATAATCATAATTTTAAGGCGGAAGTGAAACAAACATATGAGCATGCATATACACAATCTTATAATATACGACATGTTAGTCTATGAGATATTATTAAGGATTATAGGAATATCTGGATGGATCCAAGAAGAAAACTTTCTAGACAGAGACAACGATAATCCTGAAACGCAAAAGTGTAGAGACAAGTGACTAACACTTGTTGGCTTGTGAATCTTTCTCAACTGATACTCCTAATATCTTAAACACTCTTCAGGTTGGAAAAGAGACAATATGTTAGCAATACCGTATATTGGAGACCATAGCCTATATATAGGATTATGGTCAATTAGGGTTCCTATTATTCTAAAATGGATTATCCTGGCCTCCACTCATATTTGAGTCCATATTCAATTGATTAATTGATTAATTAGTAACTAAATAGAAATCTAATTAGTCTTTTTATTGAGAATGTAATTCCTTATGTCGAAGCAAGTTGCTCGACAAAAACAAAGGTGTGTCGAAATAAGCTTAGTTTGTGTCAAAAGTCGTGTAGTTGTTGATCTGTTGAAGCAGGTTGTTCAACAGGATTTTGACTTAGGCCTATTTTTGTAGTTAACAGAATTAGGTATTTTGGGCTTTTGTATTTTGAGCTTTGCTCAGGGAGCAAGCAAATCCAAAATCTATAAATATGGAGTAACCCACATCATTGTATATCACTTGTAATTGTAAAAAATAAAATCACAGTTTGTAAGCAGAGAGAAGCTCTGCAAAAAATTCTCCTTCTTCCCCTATTTTTTCGTTAAACCTTAATTCATCTTTCTTCCCAATTCAACTTTTATTTCTTCTTCCATTATCATTGTGCAGCGAGAATCATCTTGCAACTAAGGTTGGTTGATTCACTCAAGTAAAGAGTGAAGAACAAGAGGAATTTGATCAGTTGATTGAATCTTGTTCATCAAGATTTATTTGGAGTTCTCCATAGGTTTGGTGTAATTCCAACATCTAGGATCTAGAGCACTGACTGAGTAATTCGTGGGAAGCAAAACACGATGGGAATGAATCATCTGAATGGGCATTTTCTGGTGAGTCTCCTAATTTTGAAGGGTCAGAATTATGAAAATTGGTGTAAACGGGTGAAGGTTATTTTCTATTATCAAGATTTTTGGGATCTTGTGAAATAAGGAGTAACACCTCTTGAAGAATATGTGACATATGAAGAAAAGGTTACACGTAAAGAATTGAAGAAGAATAATTATAAATCTCTCTTTATAGTTCATCAATGTGTTGATCCAGATAATTTCGAAAAGTTGAGTGATGTTGAATCAGCGAAAGAAGCATAGGAAATTTTAGAAAATCGTTTGGAGGCACATAAAAGGTGAAAGAGTTGAGGTTACAAACACACAAAGAACGTATGAATTGCTTCAAATGGAAGAAAGTGAAAGCATAACTGATTTCTTCACTAGAGTTACGAAACTAGTGAATCAAATCAAGGTATATGGAGAAGTGTTGACATCAAGATCAGTTGTTACAAAGATCTTGAGGTCATTGGCTCCTAAGTTATACCATGTGGTAGTATCCATAGAAAATTCAAAATATTTGTCAGCATTGACAAAGGAATAGCTTCAAGGGATGCTTGAATCTCATGAACAAAGAATGGATGAAAAAGTTGCAGGCAAGTCGAAGAGTGATGTGGCTCTGCAAGTGCAATCAACAAGAGAAAAGAAAGGCAAAGGAAAATGGTTCGACAATAAAGGCAGAGGAAGCTACAACAATTTGATTGGCAGAGGAGACCAGCAAGAAAAAAATTCATTAAACCATAGAAGACCCTCATACCAAAGCAATCAAAAAGGTGATGTTGTTGGTAGAGGAATAGGTGGTGGTCAAAAACTTGACAAAAGTCACATTTAGTGTTTCAATTGTCAAAAGTATGGCCATTATTCTAGTTATTGTCCAGAAAAACTAAAGAATCAAGAAAGTGATGCAAAGTTTGCAAAACATGATGAAGAAGAAGAAGAAGAGATGATGTTGATGGTCACAATAAGAGATGGAGAGATATTCAAGGATTAATGGTACTTAGACTCAGGATGCTCATCACACATGTCTGGAAGGAAATATTGGTTTTTCAACATAAAACCCTCAATGAAGAACATGGTGAAATTTATAAATTATAATACTCTAGCAGTTGAAGGTAAGTGATATTCTGATTATGAGGAAAGATAGCAAAAGGTAAGTGATTTCCAATGTATATGGTAGTTGGTCGAAAATAACTATAAGGCATGAAAAGCAATCTGCTAAGTATAAGGCAGTTGGTCGAAAATAACTACGAGGTATCGATTTAAGACAAGTTTATGAGAGTTCTCGACTAAAGAGAAATGTTAATCTTGAAGGCCCCTATGTCTCATAATAGAACCTTCAAGACTGAACTTAATGTGATAGAGAACAAGTACCTTGCGAATGCAACTAGCGGGGATGAGTGGACATGGCATTATTGACTTGGACATCTCAACTTCAAAGACATCGGAGATCTGAAGAGAAGAAATATGATTTCAGGATTACCAGAAATCGACATTCCAAATGAAGTGTGTGCAAGTGAAGCAACACAAGAATAAATTCTACAAGGATGCAGGAAGCGGGTTGAAGGCAATTATTGAAGTCATATACTTTAATGTATGTGGTCTTATCTAAGTGGATTCGATTGGAGGTAACAAATACTTTGTGACATTCATAGATGATTTTAGTCGAAAATGGTGGACTTACCTGATCAAGAAGAAAATTGAAGTGATCGAGGTATTTGCCAAGTTTAAATTTATGGTCGAAAGAAAAAATGGTCAAAAGCTTAAGATTCTGAAGACTGATGGTGGTGGAGAATATGTGTCGAAAGACTTCGACATATTATATGAGAAAGAAAGGATTGTGCATGAGGAGGTGTCACCCTACACTCCACAACAAAATGGGGTTGTGTAAGTGAAGAATAGAACCATCATGAACATTGTGATAAGTATGTTGAAAGACAAGTATTTACCTAAAGAATTTTGGGGTGAAGTTGTGTTGACTGAAACATACATTTGAATAGATGTCCAACAAAAAGCTAGAAGGAATCACGCCAGAAGAATATTGGTCTGGTGTCAAACCTAGCCTTATTCATCTGAAATTATTTGGATCTTGTTTCTCTTTGAAA